TTCCCATTCTGACTACCTGTTACTTGAGATCATTAGAGCATGTGTTTTAATTACGTTGTGAAGTTCGTGGTCTATAGAGAAAATGAGGCACTATGAGAGCAGCTATAAAGCGCTGTACAGCTGATTTTGATCTAGATGGGTGTCATCATCCGTCTACCATATAATCAAATCCAATCCTCCACTACTGGCATGTAACAAGTACTCACGTTTGAAATGTTTGTATGCATTGGGATTGCAAAGATGGATATCATGAATAAATCAAATTATTATTGGCGGCCTGATCAACTGTCCGGTGATCAATTTGGCCATGTGCTTGCGTTTCGCCGGTGAGGTCCGGGATCCGAAACCCGGTTGAGTCGACGCATTCATTCTGATTTTGTGACCCTACCAGGGCGAGGGAGCTGTTCAGTGCCCTTGAGTTCACGCTTCGTTTGCTCTTTGCACACGACGAAATGCCCTATACAAACGCATCAGATAATCCAAGTCTCTTATTTGGCAATCAGGGGGAATAATTCACTCCTGCCGGCTGATCTGCAAGAGAGTCATTCCCGAGAGAGAGAAATGCTTAACCTGATATTCCCACTGTTGAGTGTTGTGTGTAAATGCTGACAGTTATTTTCATATTTATGTCTCAGCCTATTATCTCTTTTGCTGGTCACGAATCGCTACTCACCAGCCTGAGCACCCAACCTCTCGCCTATGAACTACAGGTTTAACGGCCGACATATTAAGACCATAGTCATTCTATCCGTTTTTCCCCTCCTAATGTTCGGATCGGGTCCGTATGAGCTCGTGGTCTACTGACCTTGGATAAATCACTAAAAGAGTGATTTTGCGAAGCAATAAATTACATATGGTGCTTAATTCTGAATTTACTTTAGTCACAAAGAAGAACAAAGAGCATTTAATTCAGATATCTGCGATTATTCCTGCAATTTTCATCAGACGCGTACGTACTTTAAATCCGACGGTGCAGTATTGTAACTAGTTTGGTAAGAATGTGAACATAAATTGTTTTGTTTTTCGCTCCAGAAATCTGTTGTGGATTTCGTGATCGAACTTATCCCGTTGATCAACGACCATCGAAATGAACATAGATGTTACCCGTTGTTTTATTGCTATGGACACGGTAGATTGAACGCCAAATTGGCGAATGATTGAACTTAGCAATGCACAATAAGTGTTGCACAGGTCACATGTTTTTTTTCTCTAGTCGACGACTAACCATGACAAATGCACACATTATTCATCACAGAGGATGCACTAGCTAGCTAAATGTTTGCTTATAATCCCACGGAGGTCAGGAATAATTGGACAGTTGAATATAGACAAACAAGCAGGGAAAATCCATTTGTGATCATTATCCTACTCTATATCTCACTGGCATATCTACTATTAAAAAATAAAGGTAACCTCCGTTGTTTTCTATTTTCCATTATGTTTCAATTAGTACTAAGGTCACGGTTCTCATTCATCAGTTATTTTGCATCGTGTCAACAAGGGAGAACAATGTCAAACCACTCGGACTTGTTTGCTTATTCCGTTCTTGGTTATTTTGTTCTTCAACGCCTGAAACAATAATGGTTAACACTGTAAAGGGGGTTTACCGTCGGATCATAGTTTTCTTCTGATGAATAACTTGGGCTACATTTTATGCATGATTAGGAGTGATCAAATGCCGCGATCAAGTAAACTTACTTTTGAGCTGCACCAAACCCGCATAGTGCCACACCGCCAACTTGTCCTTGATGTCTCTTGGGATTTGTCAGTTACCGACTCCGGCATCCATTCAGCCAGCCTTTTTATTTGCCTTTTTTCCTTTCCTAACCTGAAGGTAACTAATCAAAAGTTGAGATACACTGACGAATTTTAGTCAGCTGGTGGTATATCGCTGGTATATCGCTCGCAGTGTGTTTGATTTGGCCATCGAGCACTTTGCTTCTTGTTCATTACAGAAAAGCTATCTGCGTCCAAAAACAACTCAACCAAAAATGTTCCTTACTAATTTTAACGACTGATTCAAGTGCCGGACTTTTGAGAAAGCTGTCTAAATAATAGGTTTGCTTAGAGTAACCGGCTCAGTTAGATCGATGGGTAAGAAGAACATCTTTTGACAGAAATTTTCTAGTAGAAGGAATCATCGAATCTGTGAGCACCCTGATTTATAAGATTCCCGAAAAAATCCATTTGCATATGTCCTACCTGCATTTTGTTTGATTATGAGCAAACTGCAATCAGAGAAAATTAGACAAAAAATAACCGTTTTCCAAAGAATACAAGAATATTGTTAAAGCTTAAATTAGTATAAATTTCACTGATTGAGAGGTTATCAAACGAGCTTTTTGATCCGTTTGTGACATGTGATGAAACGGTCACACTTGTTGGCTAGATACATTCTATACCACCTTAACTTCAAATGTATCCGCTGCGAGTTCAAGTGAACCCAACCAATAGCATTCCACTTCAAACCCCCCAAAGTGCTTGGTGCTTCATCCATCACATGTCAACGATTGGACCTGGTATTTCAAAACCCCGTCCAGGCGGAATGAACTGACTTCTCCATAGACAAATTAAAGTACTTTTTGAGTGAGTTACCCAGCTAGGATGAAAGTTTAAATGGTTGGGGTCTTACGTTCGTCTGTCCTCTCCGATTTGCCTTTGATCGGGCGAGCTTCAAAGATGGGAATGAATCAACCCGACTATGATTGACCTCAATCAGTGCCACGACAAGTTGGATCAGTAATGTGATGAATACAAACAAGTGTGAAAAATGGGTTCATTTCAATCGGTGACGCCGACTCATCACTTTTCCTGTAGGGTTCCTATGGAATACGATTGGCTGGGATTCGCTTGAAGTTACAGTAGTTTCACTAAAAGTGAAAAATGTACACATGAACCATTACGTGACCGTATTAAGTCTAGGCCCTCATTAACCCAATGAGGTAATTCCCTTGGTATTGAACATTCCTCGAAGAACACAGATTTATTTGAACAAAGTGCTGCTGCTTACATAGTTCCGGCATTGAAAAGTACAATTGACAAGATAGTTATCAGCAGTACTAGGATGCAAAGAAAGCAATAACAGTGATTCACCTGAATAGCAAAATTAAATTTGAACTCATTCACTAGCAATAAGAAATTAATTTTTTTCTATAATTCGCGGACTGAGTATTGTGTTCTGTACTCAATGCCAATGACAACAATCTGTCACTTAGAGCTTCTCCCAAAGCATTAATCTCTTTGTAGGGTTTGCAGTAGAGTGTACTTTTTTTTAGATTCACTTGCAGATACGGCGGATTCACTTGAAAATAAGTGTATATAAACACCGATTTTGTGACCAGCTACGTAACATTGTTCCTTATCTAGCATATAGATTTCGAAAATTGACCAACTACTGAATGCGTCAGAAGGACTGTTAAGCTTTTCATCCTTGGTTGCAACCATCAGCACTGCAAACAATCCCAAACCGCTGGCATTCGAACCACATCACGAATATTTGTTAATCCGAAACGCTGATCAAGTTTACCTCCGGGCTAGTACTCACTGATTTTGACATATGGGTGTGGAAACTTGGGTTCTTGAACTATATAGCTGTTTGTAGAACCCCAAGTTAACCTGAATATCTCCATCCATTTCGAACAGTTCGATTTTTCCTTGTTCTATATCAAATTGTTCACCAATGCGTTAGTAAAGTTGACATGTAATAATCACACAGGTCAACGGTGACTCAGGCTTACCTAATTAATTGAGTCGGTATATAAGGGTTTGAATGCGTTATTGCTTCACACACTCATTCTGAAACATATTCAAGTATTCTGTTTGTTTGGCTAATGCACTCCCCTATGTCTCTACAAGGGAAGGCGTAGATGTCAATCGAATTAGGTACAACTCAGTGGTGATTGTTGAAAGGGTTGCTGAGAAGTATCGTAGGATTGCCAAGAAACGCAATATAACGTATGAATTGTTTTCCAACTGAATCGCGAAAAAACAACAATTTGAGAAAAACACGGTCGGATTAAACTCACAAATGACCAGACCGAGATAAGCACTTTGAACTCTTTTTGTAGACACGTTGCATGGCAAAATAACCGGCGAACTTCCTATTTTGTGTGGCTAATTTTGTTGAAACTATGTTGACTTTGACAGGTATACGCAAAAACTGACTTCCACCCATTTCTAGTCACAATTAGCCACATACGACAAGAACTATTTCAGGGTCAAACGCTAGCAAGTAATTGTCATACAGCCAATTTTAAAATGCATTACAAATGGTTTGTCATTTTATTTCAGGGATGTATTGGTGCTACCGAATTCCGATTTATTGGTTTGAAGAATTAAAGGCAACATCATTTGAAAATTTGGAACTAAGCGTTAATGGTAAGTGAATAAAAGAAGTTGCATAAAAGTGACAACAAAAAGTAATTTGCCAAATGAGATTCCCTATGCTCTTATTCCACTGACTGATAGAAGCATCGATTTGTGCTCACTCGCCTCCAATTCACAGATTTTACGCTAATTGTTTTTTGTTTGTTTTTTACAAGGAGATTCGCCGTTCTCCTGGGACGTCCAGTCCGCTGAAATTTGTGTCGTGACCGTGCTTCGCGTGGAGCAAATCATCACCTTGTTGTAAGATATTTTCTGCCGTTTGATAATTGTTTGGTCTTAAATCAGCACTTCAGTTAATTTTGTTCGGTAATAGATATGCGTTTTCAGGTTATCCATTATATCTTATTACATTTCATGGTAGATGTGTCAAAATTATCAAGGTGTTACAGCGTATTGCACTTTGGTGTGTTTCATTGAAATATGATTACATTTTCCACTTATCGTTTACTTCGAGTTTCAATGAGGAAGAATGTAGACATAGAACAGTATTTTACTTAAATAAAAAGCTATAGCATTCTTAATCCCATTTTGGTTTTTTACTATCCATGTGGAACGTTACATAAAATCTGGCGAGTTGAATAAAAATCGTCAGTGACATTGCCTCTCAGTTAGGAATAAAATCGTCTTATTCAAAATAAAGTCAAATGTACGCTAGAATACACTTTCAAACCCAAACCATCAAAATAATAAACCGGGTTTTAGCAAGAGTAGTTCAAACATTCAGCTCACGTCAATCAGTAAACTGAACAAAGTTGTTTCAACTAATCTTTGAGGTTCTGCGCTAACCTCCTCCAAGACAGTATTCAACCAATGGACCTCACACGTGGAGGAACGGGTTTTGCGGGAAAGCGGGGCGAGATGAGCAATCGACTGTTTTGCATTTGACTGACTTCTCCAGATGTTAATTGGTTCCAATCTAAAAAGGCAAGATACCAAATGTGTCTGATTTTTGATCAGTTTTTGTTCTGCCTCGCGACCAATCCATTTGAGACTAACAGGTTGCAAAAAATGTAAATCCCGATGGTCTGCAGTTGGCTAGTCCACTTTTCGGAATGCGTTTGTAACAGAAAGATCTGCAAATATATGTAAAATGTATTTTTAGCATCCGATGATCACTGAAAATAGGAACACGTTAAATCATTTCATTTTTTGCACAAAGTCATGCCATAAGCACCGGTATAAGCCGCTGGGTGACATAGAAACCAGTATGTAAACTTATTTAAACATTTGGTGATATATATTAGGACTTGAGAATTCAATCCAGTCAGACTTCTTGCGAGGACGTGCTACAATTCCCACTTCAAGCGAAACGGTTGCAACCTAAAGTGAATCCGTTATAAAGCGTGAAATGAAACCAACAGATGTCATTCTAGTTCAAACCCCACAAAATGATTCGTGCTTCATCCGTCACATGTCAACGACTGGATTCGGGCGGAATGAACCATTTTCTCCATGGACCAACAAAAGTACATTTTGAGTGAGTTACCGAGCCATAATGAAAGTTTCAGTACGGTGGGGTAGGGTCGGCTGATCGTCATACAACTACTAACACCACCACCACCTGGGAACCTTATGTCGTTGATTGTTGATCGAGTGAGCTTTAGACGAGAATGAACGAACACGGTGTTAGTTGACCTCGGTCGACCGGGTATGGAAGCGAATCAAGTCAAGATGGATCGATAAGTCGGGCACATTGCTCAGACATGGAATGAATCATTGCATGAATGGATTCAGTCTCGGCCGTCAATAGCCTAATGTGTAAATTCCATTGAGGTCGAGGTTCATTCGACAAACACCACTTGCTTTGAACCGAATTGCCTGAAATTGTCTGAGCATCTCTGGCATTGAAAGGCACAAGGATATGTTCATGGAATTACCGATATTTTACTTTATGGCAAGATTAAATTTGAACTCATTCACCAGTTGACAGAAATTACATTTTTCTCTGTGATTCACGGATTGACCATTGTGTTCTATCCGCAATGGCAATGGCAACAACGTGACACATGAAGCTTCTCTCATGTTGTTATTCAGTTTCCTCGTGTAGCTTCTTATCCTTGTTGATTCCCAAGTTAGTACACATGAAACACCCGGCACAAATAAACTATCGTTTGCAGAATTACATATAACTATGCGTTATTCTCATCACCAACTCTCTCTCTCTCAGTGATCTATTAGGATTCAATAGATGTGATCATGTGAAAAGATACGACGGGGATGAGAAATTATGCAACAACCCCACCGTACTGAAACTTTCATTATGGCTCGGTAACTCACTCATTCCGCCCGAATCCAATCGTTGACATGTGACGGATGAAGCACGAATCATTTTGTGGGGTTTGAACTAGAATACGATTGGTATGATTTCTTTGACTTAATGGGATATTCTATTGATGTGTTAACAAATTCATTTGATTTCATAAATGTTCCGGATGAATTTGAAAAATTGTAGAACCAGGGTTTACTGACGTTATGGGACTTATGGGTCATATCTACCCTCTTGTTTTTGGTAATGGTCCATCGCGATCTCGTCCTCCAGGTGAGGGAATCGCCAATTTAATTTTGTTCGCATGTTTTTCGCCATTGTGGTGAGTCAGTTCATTTTGACCCAACATCAACATTGTAGGTCAGTTAATTATCAGCCAACTCCATTCGATAGGCTCCCATTAATTAAGGTCTCCTATAAAGACTCGAACTGACTGTCCTTAATTAGTTATAGTCAACCCAAATCCACATTGTTGTCATCAAAGTTCATGCACAATGTTGCACAGAATTTGTACTAAATAAATATGTTCCTCACTTACACACCGATTCGCTCTTATTATATCAATTCAGTTTTCATGCCAGCAACTCACACATTGCTCAGAGCGTAGAAATTGAGTTTCGTCTCTCTGCAAAAGTACCAACGGTGCAGCGACTTGTCTCCAGTTCACGTCTACGACTTAGTCTTCAATGGCCTAAAGGTGTGAAATCGTACCAGCTGCGAGAATTGAATCGACTCAATGCAACCTTGGCACAGGCCCTTCGTGTTCGGGTCAATCCGGAAGTTACCGCGCCCAATTTGTTCATTTATGATGTAAGCTACTGCAAAGGTCCGGTAAAGGTGACCTACGTTCTCGCCCATTTATGCTATATGTTACTTGTTCATTGTATCAATACAAATATGCAAATAAAAATACCTACATATCACGAAATGAATTGTTGACAGAACCCGTTCCGATTATTTTATGAGCGGTTTCATTATTTTGTGACAGACAATAAGATGAAGAAAGAGCCTAATCTGCGCGTCACATGGGAAAACAAAAATTCTTTACTTCACCAAATATTTCGCATTGCCTGTGCAAATGTAAAGCAAATGGATTTTTAAAATATCCATTTGCGTTGATCTTGGTGATTAAATTACTTCAAAACCGCTGTCTCTCCTCCGGCTGCTGGCGAACGTTTTCTGACTGATTCGGAATTTTAAAAAGAATTTCATTCAATTATCAAAGGTCATTGTTTGTCCAAAGCACTTGCCTGAGTGATCTAATCAAATTACTATTCTGCCGCTCGGTTCCTGTCAGTCAGATAAAATAGAACCTGATTTGATTAGATTAATGATTAAATTGACAATTCTACACAAATCGAGCCTAACCTCATTGAATTACATAATATTCATTACTGGCCGGTTCCACTAGGAGTGAAATAACAATTCGTTCAGCACTTTTAAATCAAATTCAATTTCATTTTTGTGTGGGTTAATCAGAAATTTAATGCTTATTGAATTCCATGGGATAAGTATACACTGAGTTCGGTAAGTAGTACAATTAAGCAGCAAATTATAAAATTCACTCAACGGCGCTGTACAATTTTGTAATTCAATGCTTTATCAGCCATGACTTGAATGAGTCCTTGGTTGGCTCACGAAAAAGCTTTGAACAAACGATTTAATGGATGATCATTTCTGGATAGTGTTAGTAGGGTACACACGGGTGGTGAGGTCGCTGTAGTATTTGATAAAGGAAGATCATGCCTCCTCGTATTCGACGGTTTTTAGGTAGGTAGTCTGAGAATTTGTAGCCTTTCACCGTAGGTTTTAGATTGTAACCCTTGGACCATTTTGGTTGTTGTTCTTTGCAGACTTCCGAGTACTTTTATATGGTGAATTAGAAACAAAATTGCTGGAGGGTATCGGAATGCCGATTTCCTCAACAATCAGCAATTGCCGATAATTTGTTCATATTTCGCTTGGAATTCATGATTATTAATAGACGTGATTTAATTCTGTGGATCCTTCTGTGTTTAACTATTTTGTGCGCACTGTGCCGAGAAAAGTAGGTGAAAATGTGCACCTTGGATCCTAGCATTGGGCTGAATTCTATTCACTGTCTGTACTTTATGCCTGGGAAAATGAGCAGCAGCTTTGATTAAATCAACAGCTGTATGCAGACGTGAGGTAGCATGATACATAATAATGCCTAATGCCACAATAAATAATTTACTCCTGGGCTTGCCATTTAGATGTACTTGTCAAATACGGTAGAACAGTTATAACAACCGCTCTGATTCGCTCGTGTGCATAAATGGTCATGGCAACCAAACTAGTAGCGCAATATATGTAAGGTATTAATGCGTTGGGGGAAGATAAAGTGGTTAGCCGAGTCAGTGGCGTTCTGTGGCTAACAGGTTTGTGAAGCACAAGTCTCAGAAATAAAACCTGCTTGCGTACATTCCCCAATGTAAAGGTAACTCTACACATATTCAGTTCATGTGACTCTCTGCTTTCAAGGCTTCTTGCATGACGTCTTGTATGCGATTTACTAATTCATATAGATTATGGAACCATATTTTCAAGTCACTCTATATCTCGATGAAGTAGTGTTAGAGCTGCTGAGAAGTATTCATCTCTCGGTTCAACTTGGACAGCTACTGACAGCTTGGTTTCCCATTTCCAATGACAACTAATCTTTCGTGGTTCAACTCAATGTAAATAATATACTTTCAGTCAATTTTGATATACTATTAACGGACTTCCAAAGCCCACAGAATGTGGTTTTGAGGTCGACAAGGTTTTTATTGACCCATGTGAGACGGACTTCTCCGTCAAGCGGAGTGTTATAGAATTGTGGGTTTGATTCTCCATGAAGTCAATCCATCAGCAATGCTGTTGCTAGATGATGAGATTTAACCAGCTGCCCATCGCTTTTCATCTTTCAAATTATTGTTCACTTTGTCTGCTTTTGATGAATTTCATTTTACGTCAAAATATGGACAATCAAAAAAACAGCCTATACTTGGCAGATGAGTTTAGGCGATTAGATTATGGCCATTGGGTACTTTGAATTGTTTCATTGTAAAATTCTTTCTGGCGAAGATATGTTTTTAAGTTAACAAGATAAAATGTGAATGAGCAGAATTAATATCGGCCGTGAATTTCAGGTGCTCTCATTCAGCAGTGAACGCATATTTATGTGATCATGGTAAATAAAGAAACATACGTCTTGAATTGAGTCAATAGCACAAGATGATGGATAAGTGAGTTGCGTGATTGGGGTCCACACTTCGATTTCTTGACTGACTAGTCAACCGGTTGAGAAACGGGAAGCTTCGAATATCTCTTTTTCGTAAGCCTACTTGGACAGCATAATACCTAATCTTCAGGAGTTTCTGCCCTATGGAAAAGAAATGTGGTCTGGATTTCATACGGTTCACCAATTTTACAGCCCAAAGGTCTGGGGAGATGAATCAGACCGATTGAGCCATACTGTGCTGGTTAAGAGCTATTATCTAACATTCGCAATACAACAACAATATTAATACAACAATCCACTCAACTCCAAACCTAACTCCTTAATCGTCAAGAAGAAAGACGACTGCAGTGAACTACCTTTTACAAGAGATGAAGCGGCAACTAGAATATATCAACGTTAAACACATACCGTGGAAAGAAGGTACAATGCCGCTAGAACAACGAATTCTTATGGACGTTTATCTTATATTGCGTGCAATAATATGAATCGAGTAGACATTATTTTTACCTCCAATTTCATCTATTCACCGTAATTTACCTGAAGTCAAGATTAAATGAGAATGACAGACGTCATCTGTTAACCAGTGTGTGCGACATAACAATGTCCCGATACACCTTGATCTTCACGAGGAAAACCATCACCGGGTGAAAGTGGACGGCATTTACTAGACTCCTGTCACCAAGTGGACACACTAAAACTGTTCTGTGTCACACACCTTCTACAGAAGCGGTAATCAATCGGTGCTACAACCCAAAACAATACTTTCAAAAATATTGGTAGCACAGCTGTTCTTGCCATAGTAAAGGTAACCTCCAAGCGAATGTCACTGTACCGCGCTGGGTGACATTCACTTTTCTCTCCTATACCCCTTCGTATCCACTCACAATCAGGGAGCTTTCATAACTGTTATCGAATTCAGTCATTTGCCTTGACCTCAACCCCAAACCCAAATCACACCACTCCTTTTTCCACCTACCCGTTTAACGACTCGCTTCAATTTGTGTATTTCTTTATTTTTTTGCACAAGCGTATCAATCTGCTTTTAAAGGAACAGGGAAGGATTATGCATGTCCAGTTGTGCATCAGAGCTGGATTTAAGCCATTTACAAAAACGAACATTATCATTTTTTCTTGCAGAATTTCAATACTTTCTGTCGCTAGATTATTAGCTACACCACAAAGTTATTTTGATTTTAGTAAGAATCCTACACAATGGTAATTCATTTGTGCGTCTTAAAATTAAGCATGAAATCTTGCAGATACGGATAGAATGACTTATAGGATGGAGGTGGGGCCCAATCAAAAATCCGTTCGTTGACGAAACTGATACCGACAATTTGATTTAGTAGGTGATGAAAATCCTCCATCTTTACGAGTCGTAATTTAAACTCATGTATAGATAGATTTTGTGAAAATATACAGGCCAAATCTGTGACGTCTTGTTTTACGTCTTTTTCAACTGTTTGTTTCTGGTTTTAAACAGAGAATTTTCCGTGGTTTGTTCCTGAGGGAATTCCAGCCACTTAGTTTATTTCATGTTAAAAAGAAATTAATTTAACCATGGAATTCAAAATTTGGGATTAATGCCATCTAGTTCTAATGCATATCATGAACAGGTCCCGGCTATGTATTACCCAAAACGTAGTTTTCTTGTTGCTGTTACAATAGTAACTTGCCGTCATAATTCTCCAACCAAATCATACCTACGTCTACTTCCCAGCTTTTTTTTCTTTGGATACAACTACGTGTTTTTCATTTTTTGCTCTGATTCCAGATCATCCACTTTTTCAACTCGGCAAACAACTCTCTACCGGGTAAGATGAAGGCTTCATAAAAGCGACTATTTTTCATCTACGAGACTATTCTGAAGATGTGTCTAGTTTCATAGACCGTCCAGTGTAGATTTATCCTTCGCTAATCTCCTTTAGATTTTTTCCGGAGCTGTTCAAAACATAGAATGTGTTCACGTGAACTAAGCAGCAATTTTCAATATCGCCTAAAATGATGTAGTTTGTTTATAAACAATTCTACACACATTTAAACTAATTCTGTGCAAAATATTTGCCTCGGTCAAACAAGTTGGATTTTATTAAATAATTTCGATTAATAGACAGCAAAAAACCCGCTGAGAGGCGGGTTAGAACCCGTGCAATGCTTTTCCGTGTATAATCAGAAATACACTTACACTTTACCAACCGATTGCATTAGCATGGTTGACGTTGCATGACAATCATATTAATTCGATCAATGTTTTCAGGTAATCCATCTTTCCAAGTTCAGGTACTATTTCTTTATTTCATTTTTCTCACTGTTCGTATTTTGGTTCCGATTACAAATAAAAGTAAGTGTCAAGGAATTCAATCGATGCACACTCAATTTTAATGCCTTGTTGTTACCCTGGATGGCTCCACCAGTAGCATCACGAACGTCAGGTTAACTTATTTTAATCGGGGTGTATAGCGATTAAGTTGGAATTCATCGAGTGGTCGAACTAGTCAAATGACCGCGACAACTCTGTCTATGTTAGCCCCCATGAGTAATGTTTCCCCATGGGATCTAACATTGAAGAATTGAATTAGAAAATCTCATTTATGTTAACATCTTATGGCAGTGTTTTCAAGATATACAGAAGTGCTCTGTCTGATAATTTCTAATGATGGTTGCAATACATATTCGTTTTGTGCAACTCATTATCTCATTCTTTGATATAACCGTGACTTACAAGTACATTATTCCATGTATTTGATAAGGCGTTCGAGATAGAACATACAATTTGAAAGAATACTTTCATAAAATCAAACGGTAGTTCCAATGTTTTGAGGTTTTCATTGAACGACAAACTAGGCGGTGGTGGCCAAGTGGTTAGGTCACCAAATAGTAACCTGGGTTCCCCCGGTTCAAAGTGCTTCACTGCCACCCGTCTTCCCTATATCTGTATTTTACCCAGACAGACTTTGTATGGCCGCAGCCCCCTTCTAGAAAGATGACTGTACATTTGTATATTCAATAAATAGTAAAACGAAGTAAGAAGACATTTATTTATTTTTTTATTTTGGAATCTCCTGTGGCGGTTGTGGAACACATGTGAATTGGGGAATCAGTTTTCACAAAGTAATGCTCCTGCGAGTGCCTAATCAGTATTGTAACAAATGTTTTATGTGATAAAGTATATTTTTCACATTGGTTTGTTTCTCCCGTGTAAAGTGAAATTGTTTTCTTTTGTATCAAAGTAGTCAACTGAAGGGCTAGGGAATAAAGTAACGAATGTTGCAGAAGTTTATTTGGAGTGATTCAAAATCACATCATTCACGCCAATGTTTATGACAATATTCAAACATGGAACCGAAAAACGCATCGTAGACCGGCGGTGTCACGTTCTGCCCTGAAACCAGATGTGAACACATCAATCCACATGAAACTGTTTTTCATTCAATCGTCCAAACGTTTCGGGGTAGTTGCTATTTGGGATGGGATGAGGAGCGTCATGGAGATTAGGCTTATGGTTCTTGATTATAGAGAAAATATGCTTTATTGTTTCCTTACATGTTTTTTTTGTTTACCGTTGAAACTGAACACAAATGGCATTGCATTGTCTTCATATAGGAAAACAAAGCAAAGCTAGTCAGACTGTCGTGATTACTCGAGATTTCTGAAACGATCTTGTTTTTAGTCCCACTGGATCATTTCTGTTTGTGCCCCGAATCGTATGTCAGTGGTATGAGTTAATTCTCATCACTGATTTGTTTAGTTTCTTTTTAGTGATTAAATTAATTGAAGCAGCAAACGGTGAGAATAAAACGCTTCTGACGGGTTTGGATCTTTTATGGTAGTTTGACATCATCGATTCTGTTCCGACTTCACGAGCATGCGATTTCGATTTGTGATTCGTCTGTCTTTAAAATTAAGTTGAAACCAACCAACTATTCATTGACATTTAGAATTTTTACAACAGAAGATAATGCTTGTCAAGATTCTTGCCCAGATTAACTCGTTGTTCATTTCAATTATTACTAGTCTTCATATAGTTTGCGATTCAATTTCAATACGCTAGACAAATTAGTATGTAAGAGTAGTGAAGCCTCCTTTCTGTACAGTCAACTCCTATATTGCTGTACATTTTTGCATTTCGCTCAATTTACGGCTTTGAATTGTATGAAATCTTAGACAAACGTACACACAGGAAAATAAAAAACCTCTGTCAGGTTACCTGAAGTCGCGTAAATCTCAGCATTTTTTGATGACAATGTTGGTATAGTAATGGATGAATTAACCCTCTGCGTTTTGGTAAAAGCGTTTTTAACTTATTACCGGTTCAAACATGCTCTCAACAACCTACCGAGTTCATCACAGTACCTTTGCCAGCATTGCTGAGAGAAAACATGCATCCCCCATTACATTCATAATCTGGCATACGGCTTGGTGTCGGAGCTTTCTTCTCCCATTTCCTTGATTTCATTTACTTTATCTACCTGAACATATAACGTATAACGTTTCATTCGCAATTATCTCCTGTCGTGCATTCTGTGTTGTATCGAATTACTGCCAGTAGATCAAATGATGCTCAGTTGGGAAGTTCTGTTATGGCTCAGGTCATAGCTATCAACTCATTAAATCTTACTATCCGTAAAAAACGCTTAGTTTACATACTTCAACTGCCTGGAAGAAGTGTGAACAGCAAGCAAGGTCTAACAGATCCTGACCAAATCAAAACAATGATCGGGCTGGGTAGTGCTGAGTTAGCAGCTCATTAAGACACAAGCTCTCATTATCAGCCCTAAACACCACTCTCTCCCGCTCTCACACCGTCCACGGTTTGCCAAACCTGCACTGATCTTCAACCATCCTTACTATTTCCTTACATAATGATCGAAAGTAGCTGAAAACAAATATTCGCCCCCTTCAGCCTGTGAAAACGAGATGATGCCAATCTACAAATCAATTTAAGTAATGCAGATTGTATCTGTGTAAGATCCCGTCTATTGAAAGTGGTTTTCATGAATTTGTGTATACAAATTTACGTCAGCGTTGTGGTTAGGCCCTTATCACCGAGAGCTGTCTTTTCAACTGATAGTTTTCATCACCATCAGTTCACCACTGGCGTTGGACGAAACTGATTTTTGTTGTTGAATGACACAGAATGCGTCAATGTATGTGGTCCATTATGAACCACGGCGCTAATAAATGTTTTTACTCCTCGTCAAAATCACTTACATTTATCACAAGTCAAACTCTGTAATACAAACAATTATTCACTCAGTTTGGTTGTTTGTGACCTTCTAATAAATTCTTGCAGTTCTCGCTGTCAGACGAATGAGAACGAAGATTTATGCCAGTAGCTGGAGTAAATGAGAAACACGAAAGTTACAAATGTTGAAGCCAAAAAAAGAGACTTCGTGGTGCCAAGTTTACCAGTTTAACCCTATCTGGGCTGCAGTCAAAACACTATTGGTGTTCCGTAGATCACTCCGCAATTAGCAGCCGATTTCAACGAAGCTGCTGAACGGAGTTCACGGTCCGTGGTAAATAGCAATTAAAACAGTGATAATGTCAGAACCTGCTCTTCTCAATAATCTTTCTCAGTTAAGTGATCAGTTATTGAAAGATTAGCAAGTGGTCAGTAAGAGTATCTATACTGCTTTTTAGATTAGCAAGCTTGGATTAGCCCATTCGTTTGTTAAGAGGCATCAGACACTTTTGATGTTCTTGGGTGTGGGTTTCACTCCTTGGGCGATCATTGATTCCCCACAATTTCATTTACATGCGATAAAAATGTTTGTGACAACGAACAAAGTGCACTGACCAGCTGTTTCGTCTTGTTTGGGACTCACCAGTAGTGCGTACCTTTTGTGTCCCTGTCAGGACTGCAACCGTGAACGTTCGGGTTGGAACTTCAAACCCTTACCCCTGAGCTACACCGTTGTTCTATTTTGTCAAGACTGAAATCAATTCAATTTTCGGGTGATCCTTGGTTACAGTGGGTTAATGCGTACTCAAAGTTGCAGCGGGGTTCGTTGAGTGAATATAGCACACCATTTGACCACACGTGTTTACTTCGTGTCAAGGACCACAGCCAACTTTAAGGGATGTTGCTAAACGCAATCAATGCCTTCCATCCTAGGAGATTTCTCGAGTGAAATAACAATCCTCGCTTATATTAGATGAATAGATTTTATGCAAAAAAACATAGAACTACGCGAAATATTTTTCAATTTAATACATCCCGTTGTCAGATTCAGCTTTTCCGTTATCAGATTACTGCGCTGAAACATCGTGAACTCACTCTAGAACATATTAAACCGTGAAACCATAGTAAAACCCTAAGTAAGAGCCTCCTGCAGTCCTGTAAACAAAAAGCCCGGGTTAATAAGAACATCAGACCAATGAAGAAGAATAACAGATGCGTTAAGAATTAATGTTTTGTCGCTATGCTTTTATCCCAGAAGAGAACCTTCAACCTACCACAGAAACGAATCAATGATCGTCAAGGTTAATTGCAACACACGATAAATTGACTCCTGTCTGCTACGATCACCGTATTAGAAAGGAGAAAATATGATTTTGTCTGCCTTAACTAGCTCAGTTGTATTATCAAGCCATATCTTCACAGATCATCCATTAGCATTTGTGCAAGTAAATTGATAACGTACATGGGATTTCCTCAACAGCACCTTATCATTTGAAATGATCAAAACTTAAATTAACTGTATTTTATGGTGAAATTACTCNCAAAACTATTGTAACAGATAGAAACTTTCAATTATTATAAATTTATGTAGAGAAAAACGTGATTGCGATTCGAGTAGTTAAATTGAGACAGAGACATTGAAGTAGGCGGACAGACGTCGACGGCTGAAAACTTATAATTCAGTGAGACTGATTCCATTTTGTATATCGTAGTGGGGCTACCGCAATCATGTCAGCTACTGTCAGAAACAGTCTGCTGCGAACGAAATATGAAACACCAAACCATTGGCGCCAGATAAGAATTCATCACCAGGTGGAAACAACACTCATTTACAAACACTGATCATTATGAAAGAAAAATGTTGGACACTGATGATTACGTAAATCATGGAAACAGGATTCGCTTTTGAGTTCAGAGTGTCATGCATTCAAACCGTTGGAGATTAGTGAACATTGAATTCCCGTTCTTTAAATTATGGGCCACTTGCTGAGACTTCCCAAAGCAGCCGAATGAGTGCAGCATTATAAACTGCTGCTCAGGCTCTATGACTATAGCATTCAGGAGCCGAACCTCGACAACGCTACATGCCAGTGCATATTTCCATTTCAGAGTTAAACCAGTTCACACGATCCGCAAGACTTCAAGGGCCTTGGAGCTGAGTGGTCAGTTTTTCATCTTTTTCTCACGATTTTCCTCATTTTTTCATCATCTTTCCTTCAGGGTGCACTTTTAAACACATTTCTAAATGAATTATTGAGAAATCCGTATTTCCTGTTTTGTTGCAAAAGTTCCTACTTCTTCGACTCTGTTTCCATTTGTTTTTTCTACCTAATAAATTGAGACGAAACATTCAAACGCCCTATCTAAAAGAAGCGTATTATTAGTCTGTAGTTTAACTACCCAGGCATTTGGGTGAAATCCAAAAGTAATGTTATTTTTTGTTAGTTTTCTGTTGTAGAACTTTGAAATTCGAAGGTCACGATTACAGATAATTCGATTTCAATCTTGAATAACCACAGCTCGTTTGGAATTAGAGTGGGTATTCTTGCCCAAAGGTCTTCCAATTGATGTAGACCGTGATCCGCTCGGGGACTTGGAACAACTGCGTAAAATCCCTCGGGTTGGAACGCTGACCGGACATCAAACAAGTTACTTGGATAGACCAGCCGGACTAATCACACTCCCGGATTTATTGAAGCTCTGTAAAACAGCTTCACTGGACGGGGCCGAGGCCGCTCTGCGGGCCACAGCTGAATCGTTTAGACCATTCAAACTGGACGAGGTCACACAACATGAATTGGAGAACTCTGCGTGTCACAAGGCGCGACAGCTGACAGGAAGAACTTCGGCTGGTGGTTCATCGCTTACTTCATGGGGTTCAGGTGAGACAAGTAAGTTGTTTCACGTGACTTCTTTGTCGGAAGTTGCTTTACGATTCAATTTAACTGGTGACAGTGACCTCTTGTCATGCGGCAGTCATATCCAGGTGGATATATTTGACATCTCATGTATCGTATTTTCTAATAATGTAATTCTGTGAAAGTAATCACAAAGTTTGTTAGACCCATTCGAATACGATAGATTTCAAGGAACATATGAAAGTACATCGGTGGTACAGTGCATCAGCATTCCCGCATGCCGAAGCACCTGCTAGTTATCTGATAAGATCAGAGTTTGGTTCCTTTCAGCTCAGTTTTGCAAACCTTTAACCATACACTTCATTGCAACTGTTTTGTTTCTTGGCTGCTCATTTGTGTGAAGGATTAAAGGGAAGATTGACATGGATAAACCAGTTTAGAGTTCAACAGGATCGCTCTGAGTCATAATAGCTATTTACCAGGTAGGCGTACTAAGTAGTCAATATAGTTGAATATTCTAGAGTGGCATCGGTTGGATGAAATTAGCTGAACTATTTTGTTGGGTTAGAAATTTGGATTTGTATATTTCAAAATCAGAGGTCGCAATCATTCATTGAATGATCTGCAGTCATTCCATACAATACAGGTATTGATCGAACTCGTGCAACATGACTCTGAAAAGAGAAATATTTCTCAGCCTCAAATATCATGCCCATATATCAATAGCTATTGGTATTAAACATTTATTTCGAACTTCACTTTCCATTGTAGTTTTCTTAGCTCTCCCGTTTCGCGATTTGAATTGGCGCGACCTTGGTTGTCATGATAAAAATTGCAGTAGTTCGAAAGTTACTGTTTAAAATCAGAAACCGTTTGGTGCAGAGACGCACGGACGTCTATTCTTTCTAACCAATGAATATTGTTCCATGAGGATGTTTATTCTGCTCCATCCGTGTACTTTAAGTAGCATATCTTTTTCTATACAATGCAAAGTAGTTATACAGGTAAATTATGATACATCATCAAAATTTATTCGAAAATATATGTGGCTACAAACTGCACCCGCAAAATCTCGCATCAAGAAGGAAGTAAAAAAATATTTCATGGAACGTGAAATTTAACCTTCGAGCAATGACCTTGGGTTGTGTGGCATGTCGAATATTCTTTTTGTGTTGTCACCATGTCCATGATAAATCCAAGAGTTTCCGATACACAAGTGAAGAATAGAGGGAACGCATTAAAACAGCGTATGAATCCGGCGTTTCCGTTATTGATCTGTGCAAATGCTTCAATGTGAACAGAAGCACAATTTTTCGTATAACTCACGGAATTTCTCCATTGAGACGTCCGTGTGGAGGAAGAAAACCGACCACATCGAAGCAGGACAACAACTACATAAAGTTGCAGCTCAAAAGAAATTGCAAGAAACCAATATCCAGTATAGTACGAGCAGATTTACCGGAATTTTCGTATGCCATCGTTAGGAAAACGATGGCTAAATTCGACCTACAGCTGAGATCAGCTGATGTGAAGCCACCACTGAACGCCAAACAAAGGAAGGCACGTATTAATTTCGCCAACGAATTCAAATCGCGTCGCCTGTCCTTCTGGCGTTCAGTTTATTTCACTGATGAATGTCTGGTGGTTGACGAGCAAGACACTAGGTGAAAAAAGGTAATCTGTGGACCTATTTTTCCAAAGAAATCCATTCTTCCGCTTACCAAATGCAAATATCCTTCTCGCCTAATGATCTGGGTGGGGATTAAATACGGAGTATCTTGTCGTTGGGCTCCTGTACATGGTACACTGGACAGTGCAAAATTTACCTCACTGATCAAGGAAGTTTTCAGTGACTACAACTCTCGGAATGTCTTCGGTAAAGCCATACTCTTACAGGACAATGCACCATGTCATGTTTCACGTGAGGTATGTTACAAAATCATTTAAACTCAAGCATATATTGTTTTTTTCATGCTTAGACACGATCTGAAATGGCTACCTCAAAAATCGAATTCATTCAGTTTCCAACTAACAGCCCGGATTTTAATGTGATCGAAAACTTTTTCTCTGTGTTGAAAACAGAGCTGAGTCACCTTCCTCGAGAGTGATCGTTGGAGGCCAGGGTGCGGCATATACTGGAGGAAACTTACAAAATTGATCTAATTTCCAAGTTGGTGGACTCCATGCCAAAAAGACTGACTCAAGTGCTCCAAAATAAAGGAGGACACAGATTATTAAAAATATGAAACTCCTCAATCTGTGTAATTGATATAAGTTCTTTTCACGAATAAACTTTTATCATTTCCCCCCACAAACGTTCGGTTATCTTACAGTCGATGCGTCAGCAACCATAGTCGAAATGGAGAAAGTGTACTTTTCTAACGCGCTCGGCCAAAAGAAGCAACCATATAATTTATTAGTATCATAAAAATTTTGCGAGTGACCTAGGGTAATACCATGCACATTCCCTTGCGTGAGGATCAAAACGTTTGGCAATGAGATAAATAGATTTGGGAAAAGTCATGATGTTGCACGAGTTTGGTTAATACCTGCACACCGCTTTCTTCATCTAACTTCAGTTTTCAATGCGTAAGCTGCGTTACAGTTATCGTCAAATTGCAAACAGCTCACAACTTTTAAAAACACCCCCTTTGTCTTAACAACAAAGACCAACTCATGATTCTTGTTGCAACATCTTGATTAGTTCTACAGCGTTATTGCCTAGAGGGGCGGACAATATAGCATGGAATTTCCAATAGGGCGATTTTTTTGATCTGAAATACTTAGTGTTGTTAAATGTGCCAAACAGGCTTCTTTTTGTGCATCCAAACCTGCTAATAGGCAGTCAAAAAAACAGAATAGGGAGTCACAAAATTCGATGCGAGACACAGCATACTTAGAGATGATTTGAGTCAAGTAAAATTTTTCGTCATCAGCCTTGTATGCGATGATGTTTGTTATTTGTCAACACTGTGGCAATCGGCGTGGCAAATAATTGAACATGAATTGTCACAAGAGATGGCTGAATTTAACTGTTTCATGTTATGTCTTCAGCTGCGTACAAACATTCATATGAAAGTTCAGTCAGGACAATGACAAATCTTTAAACGAATGTTCTCTGTACAAATAAGTATAAGTTCTCTTAAATATTCAAGAGGAACATTGAAGGGAAAATTGCTTGAAGAAAAATAGTCACAAAA